TTTCTTGATGTTGAGGTGTAATCCACACTGCAGACTGTAGTCTTTAATCTTCATCAGTAAGTGCTTCAAGTCATCTTCACTTTCAGCAAGGAAGGTTGTGCCATCTGCATATCATAGGTTGTTAATGAGTTAATGAGTCTTCCTCCAATGCTGATGCCACTTTCTTCTTCATGTAGTCCAGCTCTCAGATTATTTGCTCAGCATACAGATTGAATAAGTATGATGAGATTATATAAGCCCGACACATTCCTTTCCTGATTTTAAACCATGCAACATCCCTTTGCTCTGTTTGAATGACAGCTTCCTGGTCTTTTATGAAGAGTACTGGTTAAATATTTTATAGAATGCCCTTCAATTTGGGTTTGTGTGATGTTTTCTCAGACAAGCTGAAATTATGGATTTTAAAGATGACTACACAGAGGTCATGTGCCCTTCTCATTAAATTATACTGGACCCATGATATCAGCCTGACTTATTAGTGGTGATGTTAATCTTGATCAGTCTATTGAGGTGATGTCTGCCAGGTTTTCCTACTGCAAAGTTATTTATTTATTTTTTCTTTCCAAATGCTATTGGTTAGAAGTTTGTGGGTTTTTTTTTTTTTTTTTTAAATCAGGAATTAAAAAAATGTTTTATTTAATTTCCAAATTTAAGGCATTTATGGAAGTGATCTTTTATTCAAATTTTTGATTTTATTGCACAATGGTGGATTACATAGTTTATATGATACTGATATTTTGGAATTTATTGAGGTTTCTTTTGTGACCTAGTTCATGATCTATTTTTGTAAATGTTTCAAGTGTGCTTGAAAATAATCTGTTTTTCTCCATGGTTTGATTTCCACAACTATGAAACAGGAAGGACCAAAAATACCTATCTCCTTTAATATTATTATTATTATTATTTTTGGCTGGGGTGGGCAGGGTGTGCAAGGAAGGTTGCAGAGCCAAGGACCAAATTTAAAGACAGAAAAATGCTACATTTGTTCTTTGATTCTTTATTTTGTAACTCACAGTTGTATATCTAGACACAAGTAGACATGGTTGGGGAGAAAGAAAAAGAAAACCATTTGTCCTTCCTGAAAATGGATTTGTTACCTCTATAGAACCTCTACAGAAATAATGATCTTTGAGGAGATCTTGCTTTTCTTTTCTTTTTTTTTGTTATTGTCTAAAAAAAAAAAAAAAAAAAAAGGGGAAAGAAAAAGAAAGATCTCCTCAAAGATCATTATTTCTATAGAAGTTCTCGCAACCTATGCCTCTAGTGAAAAATGAAACAGTAATAGTGGGAAACAGGTACTTCTTTTGGGGGCACAATCCAGCCTACAGAGAGGGATTGGATGGAGTGGGGGAGTAACAACCTGTGTCAGTAATTCTGATTGGTACTTGGTTCCTCTGGGACCCACTGATTTTAGATATTTGTATAAATAGAGCTGAACCTTCTGTGATCTGCTCAGAAGTAAGTATCATTGTGTACTGGGGAGGGGTGATGGCCCTTCAACAGTCTGGTTGATGAAAGCTGGCTAGCCATTCAGAGAACCAGCCTGGTCACTTTAGAAGCAGCAGAGATGCTCATCTATATATTTCACAGGAAGAGGAATTTGATGGGTGAAGGGTTTTATCTTACGGATTTAAGTCAGAGTGTTACTGGCCAGCCTATCAAAAGAATGTCATGCCCCTCACCTCCTGCTCTCTTTATATTGTGTCTTGCTCTCTTTGCTTTTCTTTTGTGAATGCTTAAGGATCTTACTGTTAGTTCCCAGTCTTCTCTTGGACATCATCATTAAGCCTTTCCAAATAAAACGAGGCATCAAGAAGTTCTTTTTAGTAGGTAGTTTTATCCATCCAAGTGTTCATTGTGCCTTTTTCCCTAACTTTTCTATGTATATGGAAATTATCAAAGTTTACAATTGGAAATTTGTTCCCCCTCCTCAAAAAGTTAGTGATCTCAGCTACTGGCAATATTGTCAGAAGTCAGTAGTTGATCTAGATGAAGGCAGAGAATGTTTTTAGCACCTGCCCACATATAAAAACAAATCTCACTGAGGAAAGGACAATTCTGAAGCAAAGTACGAAGAGGGAGATAGTGAAGACAGTCCCCGGAACTCAAGAATGGGAGGTAACAACTGAACAAGTTGTCTATATTTGGGCTGTCAATAGAACAACAGACTCCTCAGTATCCATGACAAGTGATATACCAGAGAGAGTACGGAATCAGAGGGATTTGGTTAAAATTCAAGTTTTGCTATATATTAATTCTGAGATTTTAAGACACTCGTCCAGTCTAATTCCACAGTCTCTACATATGTAAAATGCCAATATTAATAATTCTGCATATGTGAAAATACCATCACTACTGTTATTGCAAAATTGGTAACATTCTAAACTGGTTAACAACTATTGGAAGGTGTTTTGGGGGGAGGTCTAGAATTACTCTCCATTGATTTTCTTACAAAGGTATTTTCATCTCTCACTAGAGGCACTGGTTGTGAGATCTTCTATAGAAATAATGATACTTGAGGAGATCTTTCTTTTATTTTTTGTTATTTCCAAAGGAAAAAAGAAAAGAAAAGAAGAAAATGAGATGACAGAGACAGATGACAAGCCAATGAATAAACACAACTTTTAGAGAGATGGTGGTAAGTGCTATAAAAACCAAATTGATTCAGACTCATAGTTACTCCTCTTTTGGGTCTCTGTGGCGGTATCTCTATGGAAGCAGATTGCCCAGCTTGCCTTCAGAGGAGTGGCTGATGGGTTTGAACCACCAATCTTCTGGTTAGCAAATGCCTCATTTACCCACAGCAAATATGGTGGAAAAAGCTTCAGTAGTACACTTGGGCCCCCAATAAAGATGGCTACAGCACTTCCTTTGTGTGCCCTTAACAAAGATGGCTACAATACTTCCTGTCCAGGGCTTTTGCCTTCTACAAAGATGGTGGCTACGTTACAGGTTCCCTAACAGTCAGGATTCCGGTTTCAGAGTTTTTTTTTTTTTTTTAAAAGATACGTGGTTGCAGACGTAAGTAACAGCAAACCAGAAACGCCGTATCCATTTTTTCTCGAAGGTCACGCATTGTGGCGACTACAGCCAGAGCCCTGCGTGGCGCTCTCGCTCCTCTAACTTCCTCCCCCGGTTTCCCAGACCGGTCGGGTTTGGGGATTGGGTTGGCTGCGGTGCGATCCGCTGACCCCTGGGTCCTCTCCGAAGATCATTCCCTGCTTTTTTTAACAGATCAGGTTGCCCGGAAAAACCTCTGGTAGTGCTGTTTGTAAATACAAAGCGTCAGCTAGCCAATAAAAAAAAGTTCCGAATCCTTTCTCGCAGCCAAGTGGGCACAACCTTCTCACCTGCTGCCTCCCGGAATTTACAGAGGACAGCGAGGAGAGATCGGGCCTAGCCCGGCAGAGCTTTTACTGTCTGTGGGTGCCTGAATCCCTATTAGCCCCCCTACGTCCCTTCCCTGCCACTTAGCCTCTGTAAGTGTCAGGAATTTTTGTCTCCACACAGCTGCCGCATCTTATTGCTGCAGTAGTCTTGGAAATGTGACTTCAAACTGTGCATGGGGCTGACCAGGGTTGGAACGTGGAGATTATTTTCTTTAAGAATTTCATTACATGTCCCATGCATGTGTGGCTACAGCAGTGTTGTGATGAAGATTCTGAATAGAAGGAAGGAATGGACTGTGTACACGGTTTATTGTTGACTGGGCAGAAACATTTTTTTTAAAAAAAGGCCTTTTCCCTTAATAAAAAAGTTTCTTAACCTCATTGAAATTGCTGGAGTCTGTCCTCCTTTTCCAGTTCTAACCAGGTTCCGGAAGTGCCCGCAGTCAGAATGTCAGGTGCATCCATAGTGGCAGCCTCTGAGGTGGTGGAGGAGCAGGATGGAGGAAATCTCTGAGGAGGGCAATATTAAAATAAACACACCATGTTAATATATTAAAATTAAATGCTGCTCTGCTATTCTTAGATAAAAAGAGCTTTTTAAGCAGAATCTCTGACCCACTTCTCCTACCCTCTAGTCTCTATTAGACAAGGAATTAAACTTGCCCTTTCACATAAGGACTGAGAGGAGATGCTGCTGCTTCAGTTTTGCTCATTATGTTTGCATACATTCGAAAGAGTTTGGCTTGGTTTGACAACCATGTGTTGAACACCATGGCCTGGTACTCTGCTAAGATTCAGATGTTCCTGACCTTAAGGAGCTTATATTTCTGCTGCACTATCTCAAGGGCAACATTATCTTCAGGGGCAACGTTACCTTTAGGGGGCTCATTGGCAGTCCTGTCATCTGAATTATGTTTTTGTCTTTTCCCAGGGGGGAAATGGAAGCTAGAGACAAGCAAGTGCTTCGCTCGCTTCGCCTGGAGCTGGGTGCTGAGGTCTTGGTGGAGGGACTGGTTCTTCAGTACCTTTACCAGGAGGGGATCTTGACAGAAAACCATGTTCAAGAAATCAAAGCTCAAGTCACAGGTCTTCGGAAAACAATGCTGCTGCTTGACATCCTACCTTCCAGGGGTCCTAAGGCATTTGATACATTCCTAGATTCCCTGCAGGAGTTTCCCTGGGTAAGGGAGAAGCTGGAGAAGGCAAGAGAAGAAGCTAGAACGGAGCTGCCTGCAGGTAGGCCTCAAAAAGGTTGCCTCAAACTGGTTCCAGAATTGCTAGAACTATGCCCTTTGGATTGAAGTTGAAGTTCTAGGCTAGGGCTGGGGTGGGTTCCTGAGAGTGGGAAAGGAGTTTGGACTGAAGGGACTTGGCAATAGAGGGACAGGATGAGGAGGTGGAATTAGGAAATGCAGGGAAGGAAGGAAGAAGGAGCTATGATTATGAGGTTGAGGAGAGAGGTCAGAGAATACATTTAGAAATGCTTCCAGGGAAACTTGGCAAGCCACATGGGAGGCATGTTCTCATCAGAGAGCCAGGTCATGTCTCCGTTGGCATCAGGAGCCGTTTGGAAAGTGCAGATGGGAAAAGAAGGCATTAGGTCGACTGATAACTGATTTGTGGGGTGGCAGAGCTGCCGGCTGGAAAAGGTCAGATTCATGGAGGAGACAGCCTCTAGGAAGGCATGCGCTGCACCTGTTCCTGGGCTGTGGATATATGTCTGAAGAGGATTATTTTTGTGGCTTAGTTTGTTTTTCAAAGGTTACTGATTTAAGGCCTTCCTTTTTAGTTTAGCTTTGTTCAGACTTCTGGAATATTTAATTTTGTAAAGACAGTAGTTTGGTGAGGGTCTCATTTTGATTTTAAGGAGAGTTGGAAGCTATGGAAAAGAGGAACAGTCCTAATGCCATTAGCTTGGTTTATAGTAGGAGGAAGATGTGATGCGAAATACCCATTTCCTCTTAACACTTCTTTTTCTTTTATATTTTTTACAAAGATTGAGGAACAGGGAACTGAGCTGGCAAAAGGAAAAAAAAAGATAATTAAAAGTTGACCTGCAAATTTTTAACAGATATAGGAAATCAGTGTTCTCTGGGGTTTCTGATAGCAGTTATAGTGCCATTGATAGTCAGTGGTCCTCAGACTCTGTTGTTGATTTTTAGATACCAATTAAAAAACAAATACCAACAATAAAAGACTACTTTTATTATTTTTGCTCCATGCCCTTCATATTTTGAATGATTTTCCAGACCACATGTGTTAAGTAATTATGATGAATTCTTCCATTTTTAGTGGTGACATGTATCTGAATAGCTGATCAGTATAACTTAAGAACTTAGAACTTAAGAACTCCTGGCAAAATCCCAGTGGAAAAAGCAAACATACTTTCATTTCCTAACTTGGCCAAATTACAGATATGTTTTTGACTTTTGCAACATATTGAGGACCACAGGAATCCTCAGTTTGGATTGTTCTTACAAAATTAAATACCTTAGTATCTGAACAAAGCCAAAATAAAGGACCTAAGAAATGTCTACTACTTTACTGAAAGCAGAATACATAACATAGAATTGGGAAGGGGTGAGGAGGTATTAGGGTATCCAGTGTCTTTTCCTGGTATTTGACTTAGAGGTCCTCCTAGCAACACATGATTAGAAACAACAAAACAGGCAAACTGAAAGCCTTTCCCTATCAAAATATTTAATTTAAGTTTATAATACTTTTGGGGCATTGTAAATAGTACTGTTGCCTGTTATTCAAAGAGATGGGACGCCACTTTCAGTTCTTCAGATTTGTTTGGAGAACAAGAAATTAACCTGTTTTTAATCAAATGGTGAAAGTTTCAGAGAAATTGAGGGAAAATAGTTTTGTTTTTTTTTCTTTAAGGCAAGTAGAATGGAAAGAACAGAAAACAGAGTGGGGAAAAATTGATGATATCTGTACAGAAATTTAGAAAATTAATGTTTTCTCAGAGTTGTTCATGCTCTGGAAGTCGACAAATGGAAAGATAGATTGGCTACTGAACAAATTAAGTACACTTAATCCTTTTACTTCTTGTTGAGTAACACTGTGTAAGAATGGTGCGGGGGCTGTGTCTGACCTCTAGCTTCACAAGGGGGAAGGAGAATCAAAATTAACTGCCCAAGGCTGATTCCTTTGAGGTGGAGGTCAGAAATGCGGTACCTTCAACCTTTGTAGTGATTCTGACACCACCCATCCCTCCCACAGCACTCTCTACTTCTCTGCTGGGCTTGAGAATTCATTGCAATGGCCACACAGAACTCACAGATAATACTCTTGATTATGGTTTTTATTAGGCAAGTAAACGGGAACAATTCAGGGTGAGAAATGACCCAGGATAGAGATTGTCAGTCCCGATAGCTTTTTTCCAGCTATGCCTGCAGGCATGCCTCTCCCTGGCCCTCAGCCTCTCAGCTCCATGGCCCCTCTGCCTCTGCCTTGCCTATAAGTTCTCGAAGGCCCTCCACTCTGCCAGCATGCCTTCTGCTCCTGGGCACTCAGCTCTCTCAGCCAGGAACCCCACTGCATTGTCTCCTTCTGGTCTCCTGGTCCTGCTACCTCTGCTGCTTCTGTTTCTCTGTCACTGCATTTCACCATCTCTCACCACCTCTGGTGTTATAGCTCACTCGCACGCTCTCTCTCTCTCTCTCTCTCTCTCTATGTCTCTCTCTCTCTCTCTCTCTCTCTCTCTCTCGCTCTGTCTTCTTGGTCTAGGAGTTTTCTCAGCTTAGGGATCTTGGGTCTAAAAGACACGCTCCATTCCTGGCTCTTCTTTCTTGGTGTTCATAGGTTCTCCTTTCCATTTCTGAGATGTTTCTCATTATAAGCCTAGCAGGATGACAAACTGATCAATTCCTTTGTTAGGGATCTGTACACCTTGTTTGCATGGTATCACCCCCACAAGGATGCCATGTACCTTATTTACATTATTAACAAGTTACCCAATCCCTTTGGTGGGACACAAGCACCTCATTTGCATGGTTCCACCTAGTCATTGGGTAGGAGTCACAGACTGTCTAGAAGGGCTGTATTAAGTAATTCACTGCACTGCACACTACCACTGAGAACAATACTCAGGAGAGTGGGTCAGATTGACCTGTGTCTCTGTATACCTTCTATGATGATAGTTCCATAAACTCACTTTTTAAAAAGTTGTTTTTATTAAATATCAAGTATTTAAATAACATTACCACCCAGTCCCACCCTGAATTTGGGGTTTATCATTCCCTTTTTTACTTTATTATTTTCTGTCTTATACGAATCACTTTTAAAATCCACATATGTTAGGGAGAACCTACATATAATAAGTTTTAGGGATTTATGAGTGACTTTTATGTGTGTAGGAGGGAAAGGATGAAGGAAATAAGATGTATTAAATTTCAACTTAATGACCTTCTCTTCTTTGAGATCTTAAAATGTTTCTTAAGTGTTTAAAGTAATTAATTTGATGGTAATATTTTGATTCTGAAATTAAATTGAGGTTTAAGTAATTGAAAACGTAGGTTATTTTTGAAAATCCTATAAAGAATATCAGAATTGAGGTGCCTTCCAATTTAATGGTCCTGTAAAAAATGCAGATGGGCCCGAAGGCCTATTTCCCAGGACCCCTGGGCTTCTCTAGTGCTGTAATAGAGTAGTTTTAATAAGCTTTAAATTAGTCTACTTAAATAGTTATAAAGGCATCTTTTGGGAGCTCTGGTGGTGTAGTGCCTAAGCCGTTTGACTGCTAACCAGAAGGCTGGTGGTTCAAACCTACCCTCCACTCCTCAGAAGGAAGACTGGGCAATCTACTTCCGTAGTGATACTGCCTTGGAAACCCAAGGAGGGGTCACTATGAGTCAGATCTGACTCGATGGCGGTGAGTTTAGTTTTTTGGTTTAAAGGCATCTTTGAGTTTTGAGGAACTAGACTAGAGAAATGTGGTGCTTATGTATGTATAAGTATACATTGACTTCTTATGCTTTACTCATTCTGATCATAATTCATTGATTATTTATAGGTTTGGTAGTCTTTTCTTATGAGGGCTTGAAACTGATGGGTGGGAATGGCTTTTTCTGTAACTGAGAGGATGATTCTTAAGAATGAACTGATTTTACTTTACTAAAAACCTTTCTTGTTTTGGTCTTCTCAGAGATTCTTGGACTTCTGTTTATTAGTTTGTTTAATTTTTGTGTTTCTCTTGTAAATTTTGAGCTGCAACAAAGTCCTTATTTGATGATTAATCCTAGTTGCTTCTTATTTATGTTCTGCATATAATATTTTAGGGAAGAATCAAGTTGTATCTTGAAACTTGCTACTCTTCTAACACTACCCCCACCCCTCTCAAGCAAATCCCAAAACACCAAAATACACTGTAAACCTGTTGATGTCCTCAGACTCTGACGGTTCTCTGATCCGTCTCTTTGATGTTAATAGATAATCGTTTCATGTTTTTCTCACCCAGTAAGGACTGTTATAATTTAAAAAGGGCATTCTGGCGATAAAATGACTTAATCCAGCCTGGCACAGTGGAAAGAACACTTCACAGTGCATCCGTTACTGGCCAAGGTCACATACTAGACACTAGATCAGCTGGAAATCCTCTTTGGGCTCCTGTCTGGTCATTTAAGAGACGAGGATAGTGTTGTATCTGGGTGAAGGCAGCATGTGTCTGCCTGCCCGGCTTCCTGCTGCTGCTGGACGTGTCTGCATTGCCAAGCTAACGCCAGTATTTGAGCTCATCTGGATCTGCACAGAGGGTTTATTGGCACCCCATTCTCACCATCTGGTGGGACTTAGCCTAGGTTATGGTGGGAGTGACTCCTGGGCCACAGGACTCCTTGTTGCAGCCCTGGCTGTAGGGCTGGGCCTCTGCCATTATTCTCCCTAACAGTCTGCCTGGTCTCGCTGCCTTTTACCTTATTCCCCAGTCTTCCTTTAGGCTTGAGAGGTCATTTGTTTTTTGTTGTCTGTTTTAACCATGTCTCCTCCATCATCTAGACGCCTAGACCAGGCCTCTGCTTTATGTGCTTTCAGCCACAGGCCAGGGTGAAGGACGGATCTCTGGGGACAGAGCTCGGTACCTTTTGCATTAGCATCAGATGCTTCAGCACTTTGGTTGATGTTCTTGTTGGAGTGGCTGTCCCTGGGCTGGTACTTGCCTTGACCTTGCCTGAACTGGAGCTGCTCCTCCCCTTAGAGCCTATGTCCTGGACCCTTGCTGCCCTCACTGGGAC